TGGTTAATAAAACCAAAATGTGCAGTATTTAAAGCATTCATTTAGTAACATTTCCCTTCATATGGTAACGGTTTGCCGGTAATTCATGTTTCAAAATTATACTTCTTAATACCACACCTCTAGCAGAAAATACAAAACTGAAAATAAATTTTATTTCATTGTTAATCTATACATTGTATATTTTATTATGTTATTTCGACATATTTTATAGTTAATTTTAACAAAATCATCACCAAAGCTCTTTTTGTTGTTCCCACAGAGCCTTCTCAGTGTCGCCACATCAATGTAACATTTTATAGGGGCTATCCATACATCTGTTTTTATAGATATAATATCAAACCATATCATCTACAGAAACTCCTGAGCCTAATGATATCGTTATTAATGATGTTATGATGCTTATAACAAAATGCTATGTTTCTTTGTCAGAATGTTGGTTTTTGAGATAAAACCCTAACCTAGCTCATTTTAAACAAGCTCTAAAGCCTAATTAGATATCTATATTAATACCCCTCTGTAAGTATCTATTATAACGTAATCCGTGCCTATACAATAGGAGTTTTCTGCATAAAATCGTTAAATCACTTTACTTCTCTAACTTATCAGACAACCTTATTTTCAGAAAGTCCTAAACATCTTCAATGGCAAATAAACTAAATGCTACTTTGTCCTGTTTTTTCAAATCCCCCCCCCAGGAAAATTCCCAAATTTTTAAACTGAATGAAATGAACACAAATTACTGTAAGCTCTCTACTTTATTATTTTTCTCTCTCTCTCTTTTTCCTTAATAACAAGTAATGCCAAATTTCATAACAGAAATGACAGAAATTTTTTGAATTAAATAAAAAATAATGCATTTTATCCATTCTTTCCTTACAATCTAATGAATCAATCCTCGTTACTTTGTCAATTTCTGTTTTAAATTAGGTAAAGATGCAGAACCAGATATTAATTTTAATTAAACACCATGACCAGAGGTAATAAACTTCACGTCATCAAATCACCACGCATTACGTTGGGGAGGTTGTAGTAAGACTGGGTAGCTAAGATTCGAAGGCTCGTTGGAGCTAAACTGTTCGATCTAGAAACTGTCAAATTTAAACAAGACATTCATTGCTCAGTTTCGTATAGTATATTATTCCAGAAAAGTCATTGTTGTATTATTTTCTTTTTAAATAATATTTTTCTAGGGAAAGTCAAATAACCCGGTCTTACCAAGTGCGATAAAACTGGGTGCAACTCTATAGGAAATTTAGAAATACAAAGTTTCAGCAAATAAGTAACAGAAAATACTTAGAAATACATAAGTAGCAGTGAATTAGTAGAAATACATTAATTTCAGTGAATAAGTAGCAAACACATCTATTTTATATGACAGTTTAAGAAAATAATGCGTGCAATTTACGTGTAATGTAGAACTCAAGGAGGGGAGCGAGAGTGACAATTGTCCAAGGGCCGGGACTGCTGAGGACCCGACCAAAATTCCTGATAAAAAATATAGTGCTTATTTATTAATTTTCTTAAAAGAAAATAGCTGAGAATTTCTTTATATCGATATATAACAATTACGATTTTGCATAGAGTTTAAAAATTCTGCTTAATATAAAAGTAAGGCTTTTTGTGTTCTGAAGTTGTGGCTGGCAATAAATTTTGTCCTGGGGCCCATAAAACCTTTGCTAAGCCTTGGATGTAGCTGTCTTTTTCCTCTGCTACCCAGCATACCCCAAGAACAGAGTTTAACGAAACAGAACAGTAGGGGAGAGTGGGGTCAATTGTAACAGGGTACGATTGTGGCAGAGCAAAAATTTCGAGTGTCGGGTTCTAGATTTGGTTCCTAGGTGGCACAGAATGTGTATTAAATAAATCTACATGTACACCCCTGCTGGCAACCATTTTTACGTACTTTTGAAAGAGTTACACCACAAAAAATATTTTCACGCTACGCAAGTACTTCTTTTGGTATTAGAATATTACATTGTAACAAAGTAATTTTGTTTAAGCAAATAAAAATTATTAACCGAATATGTAAGTGGACACCTTAATTAACATTTCCAAAAAAAAGAAGATTAGTTTTGTTAATTAACAAGCATTGTTTTTAACAAATGAAGCTGAAATGGCGTCTTGGGGACGATTGTAACAATAAGTAAAGGGACGATTGTAACAGCTGAAAATAAAATTAATAATTTCAATTGCAATTGTTTAACCCCTTAGGTCCCATTTCTTATGTTTACAAACCATTACTTAACTCTTTAAGAACCACCAATAGTTTCCTATATCATTTATATTATGTTGCATGTACATTATTTTATTTGTCACCTTTCACAGCATAAATTAAAATTTTTAACCCCTTAAAGTTAAAAGTTTAACCCTTTAGGTCTCTGCTCATTATTATTTTTACTCCTAAGATATCACTACTGTTTTGATCAATAAAAAAAATATATCACAACTATGATAATATAGATAATTAACTATGTTTTAGTTGAATTTATGAACTGTTACAATTGACCCCGTAAGTGGGGACAATTGTAACAAATGCACGACTGTCAAAAATTGTTAATAACTAATATAATAACATTTAAAATAAGGTATTTATTTTTTTTTTCTAGTAGAGGATAGTTTACTTTACTCGTCTGTCAATTAATACTAATAATATATTGGATTTTTTGTTAGTTAAAAATAGTTAATAAAAAAAATGTTACAATTGACCCCACTCTCCCCTACAGTTCTAATATTGGACTAAATTCTTATTGTTTGCTAGGGTAGGAATCTTTAGTAAAACATATAATAAGCTGAACTAAAGATAATTTTCATAAGTCTAATCATCAATGAATAAGAATAGTTTAAAAACAAAAGATTTTTCAAAAAACATATACAGACTCCGTGAATTAATCAACAAGCCAATAGGGTAGGTTCTTATTGACTAGTAAAGTGTCATTCAGAGTTTATCCGCTAGAAAACAGAACTAATTTCCACACAATAAAGGTCACCGTCTCTCCCCACTCTCCCCTAAATATCTATTATAAAACTTTCATGTTTCGGAAGGCTGTTTTGTATTAAACTATATAGTGATACCTGTACACTGTTGAAAATTTTGAAATGCATTGAACCGTAATAGCACTCACATTTTCTGCAAACTTAATATGGCTTTAAGTTGAACAAAATTAGAGAACAAAGAAGAAATCGTGATTAAATTACATTAAGAAGTACTGGCACTTTGAGTGCAGCATCCGTAAATTCATTTTAACGTAGCATTTTGTACCACAATTTTAACAGTACTATTTCTTAAATTACAGTGATATTACAGTAAATATATCTGTATAAAAATTACGACCTTTCTGATTTCTAGCTCCTTTAACTTTTACGATAAAAAGTATTGTCACCCCGAGTGCCGGTAATTTTTTAACTTAATTTGATCCAGAATTTTTTTTAGTGTACACAAGATACTATGGTTCAATTTGAACGGTAAACCGGTTGAATTTAGCACCTTTCCATGTTGTAACTAATTTCACAGTTCGGTATTATGGTTTAAAAAACCGATATAGATCAATTTAAAACTAATTTTTCTGGAAGCGAATCCTACACACTCAACAATAACTCGCCATCTCAATTTCAAGGTTTAATGGTGGACAGTAGGAGTTTTGGCCAATGCAACATCGACGAACAGATGAATTTTCTCAGAAATCAAAATGTAAATAAAAGGACACATTTAACTATATGTTTCTGCATATTCTACATGTACCAAAAATTATGGTTACTTTGCAGATGTAATAAATTAATTTGCTGCGGAATAGGGTGGACGGTAATAAACCTTTACTACCTACCAGGATATAGAAGTGGGCGGTAAGGAAAGAACAGTTGACTACCCCTCCTACAATTGTCTATTTTTGATATTTACTTCCTTATGTCATAAAATGTTTCGTACATTGTTATACATTCAATATGGATTATCATTGTATTTACTGAACATAAGTTACATGTATATATTTTCTTCAGAAGTCAAATGACATGATAATCTCTTCAAATGACTAAAAATTTTGACTGTTTAACTCTCTTACCTGTAGATTGTCCTTTTTTGTGATAGGGTTTGTAATTTTTTTATGAACTTATTATGGAGACATTTATGCAGAATGATTTGCAAAATACAATTAATGAAACAATTTTTAAGTAAAACTAAAATTGCAAATTTAAATTTAACGTTTCGAAGTTGCACATATGTTAACATTATTTTATTTTGATTCACAAACCGATTATGCTTTAAAAATACTTATTTTTAAAGATAAATAAGAGTTTCTCTTTTTATAAGAAATTTTTTTCTACTGTAAAAAGTTTAGTAAAAGAGTACTGCATTTTCATCTAAAGACCTTATTATGGAAATATATATTTCAATATTTAATTCGTTGATTATAAGAAACTTTTAGGATGAAGTTGATGATCCATATAAGCTTTCGAAACAACAACTATGCATTATTTAATTTTTAAACTTATAAATTTGCGAACATTTATCAAAAATATTTAGATCAATTATTTTTAACGAAACTAAATATTTAACATAAACATTTTCAAAATAATTTGAATATCACTTAAATATGTTAAGTCGATAAATATCAAGATATCAAATTACGAAGACCATTAAATATTTCATTATATGTAATTTGTATCATATATCATTAAATTTATGAGAAATACATTTTTGAGGAACAAAACATTTAAACACTTAACTTTGAAAACGTTTTTTTATGAATAACGAATTCTATTTGTTTTAAAAAAAAAATTTTAACTCAGAAATTTGATGCTTTTATTATATACAACAATTTATATACAACAGTATTAGTAAATGTTTTGATTTAAGTCGCTCTCTAATTTTATTCGTAACTATATTGTTAATAAACTTCTACACACCTAAAACAAGCGAAACCGTAATTTGCAGTAACAGTTAAAAAGTTATTATTCTGAAAAATTAGTATTTTGCAAAATTAAATTACAACTTGTGAAATAATTACCTGTATTCGTCAGCCATATTCAATAATAATCGTCCCTTGAGAAATTCTGCGCAACTAAAACTTATTTAACGAATAACAATCGTATTTTCTTCGGGACGATCACAGAGTTTTGAAGAAGAAAAAAGGGAAAAAAATATATAAATCAAAACTTTCACTTCACACTCTCATCCATTTTATTTCAAGTCATAAAGCAAACGACTTTGTAAAAATTGGTTACCAAACTCATTAGGAAAAATGATCAGTCAGAAAGATTCATGGAAGTTGCTTTTAAAGTATCGTCTGGCACCACTTTATTGACGATATCGTAATAACTCATAGAATTTGTGTTATCTTGGAACTCTTTCCATGTAAACTCCTTTTGGAGAATGGAAGTTAAAGGACGTGGTCCGAAGCGCTCTGCACAAGCGTTGAAAATAGTCAATATGATGTTCGTGACGTCACGTGTGCTGATCGATATTGGAGTACAACACTTTGGGGCAAGGTAAGCGCTCCTAGAAAGAGTATGCAATGGTATTTTTTCATTTATCAAAACGATAGCCATAGTCTCTTTTCTTAAAAAAAAAAGAAAGAAGAAAAAAAGCTTGAAAGAAGTGTTTTTGACCTTCATGGAACCGTTGCAAAGTACTCTAGATTTTTTACAAGAGTTATTATATATTAAAGCCAATACATTAAAAAGTTATCTAAAAAATTATTGAAAAAAGTGATGTGAAAGTTACTGCGCAAAATATAAATTAAATTAAAAAAAATTTCAGTTGAGTAAATTTATACCTGTTTTTTATTTATGAAAAAAGTTGCCAAATTTTTTTCTTTATTCTAATGCATAAAGAAAAACCCAATCCTTTGGACAAAATCTTTATTTGTTACAATTATTTCGAAATTATTTTTTTTATAAAAATGTTTTATGTATGTTGTCGGAAGCTGAGAGGTAACAATTAAAAAAACTTTCAAGGGTTAAGATTAAAAACATCATCAAGTTTCATTAGATAATTAAACTGGCTGTAATGTTCTTCATTCACCCTTCCTCAGCTATGATTCGTTACAGTTCAATTTTAGATTTTTTTTCCTCGCTTAAATAATTATTTGCAAATACCAATAAGTGTACTTATTTACTTTATTATTGACCAAGATTCAACAAATATAAATTAAGAGGGTGATCAGGTAAAACACAGTACACTAACTTATTTTCAAAAATTATAATTTCCCAAAATTCTTGTCTAAGGCTATTGCATAAAAAAACTAATCCTTGGGGCAAAATCTTTGATGTTACAATTATTTCCAGATTGTTTTTTTTATAAAAAAAATTTTTGTATGTTGTCGGAAATAGAAAGGTAATAATTAAAAACACTTTCAAAGGGGATCATTAAAAACATCAGCAAGTTGCCTTAGGAAATCAAACTGGTCGTGATGTTCTTCATCAGTTATGATTCGTTTAATTTCGATTTTAGATTTGTTTTCTTCCTCGCTTAAATAATTATTTGCGACTACCAATATGTGGGATTAGTTACTTTATTGTTGACCAAGATTCAAAGAATATAAATTAAGAGGATGAATACGGAAAACTTTGTACCCTAACATATTTTTCTTGTAATTCAATATGTAATTCAACTAGAAAATGTCCCAAACGCTAAAAATTGTTAAATTTAAAATACTAATCTTTCAATTCATATTATCGATGTTTTACAAAATTGTTTTGTATTAAATAAATCCAAATTTTAGTAGTGTAAAATTTGGATTATCCAAATTTAAGCATTGAGAGAATAAGATTTTAAAAAATGATTTCTTTTTAAATGATTTAAAGGACAAATATATATATTGTCTAAAAAAATCATAAAAATTCGTATTAAAAGTATTATAGTACTTAAAGTTATTATTTACCATCAATTAAAATATCTCCAGCTCAAAAACAAATTAAAAATTCCAACTCGTCTAGATCATTTTTTAAAATACGTAAACTTTCTAATATCTGTTTTGTACTAAAACATCTCAAAAAGTTTCAGAAATATTCCAACAATGACATGCCAGAATTACTGAAATATTTCAACCTAAGATCACATTTCTTAGAGTTTTAGAGAGTTTTTGCGAGATTTTCAACTCATATTTTCGCGGCGTATAAGAAGTTGATATAATGTAAATTTTAATATAAGTTTACCCATGGTTTGATTCCGCTAATTTCAATTTAGGCATAAGACGGTGGCAGTTATAAAATCTTTTAAACATTACATTTTTATCATAAAATATTGTTATAAATGTGTTCAGATTTGTTATAATAATAACTCTATTATAAAATAATTAGTACCTTTCTTTTCAAAAAAACTATTCTTCTTTCTTTTTTTATTATTGGTAAGACTTAGAATTTCATAGCTTTAATTCAAATATAATAAAGAATAATACTAGCACCTGATGTAGTTCTGTCCTGAAACTAAAACATAAAATAAATGCATGCTTTTTATCTTTAAAAGCATAAATTTCACTTATGTAACCACGAGTATTTCTTAAAACGATTCAGAAGTTGTGCAATTCGGATGATTGCTAAGTATGATTTATTTAACATATGTTATGTTATATATATTAATAAATATTAAGAATTGTAACAAAAAATAATAGAGCTCTACTACAATTCATGCAGCATTACTATAACATTAAAAAATATATTTACAATTTTTGTGCATTTATCTTTTTTATGTTAATTTCTTTGGTGAAATATTACTTAATAGTTTAAAAAAGTTTGAGTCGTTTTTTATATACTTCACTACTTCACGTAAATAAAAAGTTGAAAAAAAATCTTAATTAGACTTGTTATTAAATTAAGAATAGCGGAAAGAAATTATTCCAGTTTATTTTAAGTTAATTCTACATTACGTAAGCTAAAATAAAACAATTATTTGTGTTTATTTATTTATTTTGCATAACTATATTTTTTTCAAAGGAACGTAAGACCTCCTATTAAAATAATATTTCCACTTCTGTAAAGAAAATGTAGAACGTGCTGTAAAGATGATGATTACGACCCCTTCAATAAAAAAACGACTCAACAAAACCATGAAATAAAAGTATATATGGTATTTCATTTATTTAAGTTATAAGTTCAGGTTATTAGTTCCTTAAGTGCTTCATTTTCTATTTTTAAAATATCAGTTGTTTCAATAATTATTTCATAAAGAGAAGGAAAAACACTTATAAATAAAGAAACTCGGAAATTCTGCAAAATTAATTTCATACCGTATTATCGGAAACAGAATTACGAAATAAGTATCTCAATTTATTTTTTCTTCCTTGTATGGCTGTTTTATATCTTTAAACACTTAGGTTCAGCTTTTTTTATTTTTTTATTTTGGAAAATTAATTTGACCAGTTTGTACCATAAGTGGTCAAAAGCAATAAACTCTTTTATATTTATTGTTAAACTCGTCAAATAAGTATACAGAGGAAGAAAAAAAACTTAAAATAACATTTTAAAAAAGCTTCTCAGAAAAAGTGTCTTAATAATAGTCATTACCATAAATTCAACTTGAAGAAACTACTTTATTACTCTAAATCTAATTCAAAATTTAAACCAAGTTAGACGTAGTGTTTATCTTGAGCCATAAGAGTACTTTACTAAACTAAACTAAAAACTTCAAACACTAAGTTGAAAACTTCAAACACTAAACATCCGTAAATATTTCTCTAAAACTGCGCAAAATCAAATATCTTTCCATTTAGTAGCTTTTTCGTTATGGGAATAAGTTTTGCGAAACATCGGTGGGGCCAGTAGTTTTTTTTTTTTATTAGAATGTAATAGTAATAATAAAAGTAGTTAAATAAGTATGAAAAATGTATAATATTTTTTTGTAAATAATCGTTTCACTTTAATGTTATAGAAATAGCTTTTTCATATTTCGCGTAATTGTTCGAAATAATTGTTCTTGTACTCGATGGTATAAATTATGTTTTTAAATTACCGTTACTATTATATATTCTTTAATTGTAGTAAGTGTAAAAGAATAATCGATGGCCCTACATAGCTAAAATTCTAATCAAAGATTTGCGCTTTCTTCGTCTAAAATCTTTTAGCACCGCTCTTTAGCTGCTGACCTTGACTTTATAGGGACAAACTAACCATCATTGAGGGAACTCACCAGCATTTGCATTGCGTGGAAAGGAAATCCTCAAAAACCTCCCGCCAAAGGGCAATCTAACCCATGATCCGTTTACCAGTGAGGAAATAAACTCATGTTTGTGAAAATTGCAACACCATGAAGGACTTACGCGAGTGTGCTGAAATTTTCAGGAACTGCAAAGTAGAGCATGATATGCAAATGATTAGAATTTCAGACCCGTAGAGCATGCGCATGCTGAGCAGCGCCCTCTGAACGGCGGATGGATCCGAATAAATAGACGACTGTAGCCAAGCGAGTATGGTTATCGGTGGTTATCTGCTAGTGGTAAATGTTAGCTTAGTCATTACTTATGCCTATTCGACGAAAGGGAGCGAGATTTCAACAACTTACGGAGTTTAAACGGGGGAGAATCATCGGCCTTCGTGAAGCTGGATTATCTTATCGTGCAGTAGCCGCTCGTGTGCAGCGTAACAGCAGCACAGTGATGCGTGTTTGAAAGCAGTGGATGGACGAGTGTCGGACAACTCGGAAATCCGGGAGTGGACCCTGAAATGTCGCGTCAGCTCGCGATGATAGACACATTCGGCGTTGCGCTAACGGACCGTACGGCTCCCTCTAGACAACTGGCAGCACGGTGGTCAGTAGCTACAGGTGTTTCATTGTGTGCTTTATCAATTCGTAGACGTCCGCTGCAGCGTGGACTGCGAGCAAGGACTCCTTTATACAGGATCCCCCTCACGCTAAACCTTCGCCGCCTGCGGCTGCAATGGGCCAACCAGCATAGGAACTGGCTTGCTGATTGGCAGCGTGTCGGTTTTTCTGACCAATCTCACTTCAATTTGTGGTACCATGATGGCCACATTCGTGTCAGACGCTATGCCAGTGAACGCCATCTTCCGAAGTGTGTTATCGAATGCCACAGTGGACGAACACCCGGGGTTATGGTCTGCGGTGACATAGCATATCACGGACGATCTCAATTGCTACGAATTGTGGGTAATCTGAACAGCAACCGGTACATCAGTGAAGTTCTACTGCCCCAAGCTGTTCCCTTCCTTCAAGCTTTGCCAGGTGCGGTATTTCAACAGTACAATGCCCGCCCTCATATTGCTAGGACTGTTCAATCCTTCCTTTCATCGTGACAGGTACAACTTCTGCCTTGGCCGGCGTATTCCCCGGATATGTCGCCGATTGAACATGTGTGGGATTTCGTTGGTCGGCGTCTCGCTCGTAATCCTCGTCCTGTTGCTTCTACAGACGAACTTTGGGTACGCATACAAACAGTATTGAATTCTCTTCCTCAGACAGACATTCAAAGTTTGCTTGACTCCATGCCATGTCGTGTAGCAGCACTTATTGCGGAGCGTGGTGG